CACCATATCGGCTTATGTATTGGCAGTAGCAAGTTCCTGTACTTACTTAATCTACAAATACAGCAATAACCAACAGCAGCAGATCTGTTCCGCCAAATACATTAACATTGTCATATCCATTACCGTGCTAAAATCTTCAGAGAGTTCTCATGATAGAAATATTTATACATTCATTTGGAGCAGCACTGTTTGTGTTGTTGTAAACAGGCCTTTAGTAATGAGACTTGATTTTTGCCGTGTGTCCCTGTGGGCATGTTTGCCAGGAGGAGATGGAGCTGCAGCTGCAGGAGGAGAGGGAACAGGAGGCGGCCCGACAGACTGTGCTGGAACAAGAGCGGCGAGATCGAGAGCTGGCCCTGCGGATCGCCCAGAGCGAGGCTGAGCTCATCCCAGAGGAGACGCCCGTGGAAGCCGGACTGCGCAGGTATCTGCGTGCCTCTGAACCAAGCAAATGGCATACCTTCAGATATTTACCCAGCACACTCTGCAGCTAAACATGCCCCATAGAGCAATCTTACATCAATACTGACTTCAGTGAGCTGAGGAAAAAAATGCATTATACAAATGAATTACAATGCATGTAACATTACACATGCATTCGTATGTCAGAGTGTTTCATGTCATACAAACACATTCAATCACAGCTGCAGGTTAAAGGAATGTTCTGGGTTCAATGCAAGTTAATGGCAGCATCTGTGAGTAAAAACAACGACAAATCACATGGAAGTCGACTGGCAGGGCAGAACCAGATGTTAATTAGATAACAATTTATTAGATAAACAACATTCTCTCATAATAATAATTCAAATCTTTGCTGAAGATTGAATGAAAATTGATCAAAATTTAGCGTAAAGACGTTTATAATGTTACAAAAGATTTCATGCTGTTCTTTCATCAAAGAAAATGTATCAAAATATTAAGAACCGTTTTCAACATTTTTATAATAGCACATTATATATTTAATAGCACTGTAAACGCAAATATGTCAAAAAGTCTAGTATATTTTTAATTCCTCATGATTCGACCCCTTTCCCTTGTCTTGAACCTGGAA